AAAGAACTCTAGCATTAGGCCTCGATACGACGGCTCTTCGATTTTGGCATACTCGGTTAGGTTGAGTACTTTGAGGTATTTCATTACGTCCTCGAGAATGCCTAAGTCATTCAAGAGTTTCCAATCAACCGCTTTCAGTCGCACCACCTCTTTTTGCGAGAGACGGGAGTAAGTCTCTCCTTCCTTCCGAGAATAAATGGGGAAAAGAGCTCCGTATTGATCCAAAAGGTCATCGTCCGAAGGAGCATGTCGTGAGGATGATTCGCCCGCTTTACGCTTCTTAGCCGGCTCGGCTTGAGTGGCCTTCTTTTTAGTAGGACGAATTGGAGTCTTTCCCATTTCAAAAGTCACTCGGGCAATTCGTCGAACACCTTGGGTGCACAAGTTTGGAGATGAAGCTTTGATGAAGAAGACAATGGTGGAGCCCAACTAGCACCCTTCTTCAATCAATATGTCACAACCAACAACACTAACAATTCAAGTTCTTCAGAATAATAGCAAGGATCGTGATTACCCGATAATGAAGGCCCGAATGTGGTGAACCCGTGATAGAAAACTCGGAGTTGAGGGATGACTCGGATTTGGTCGGGTCGTTGCTATCGGCAGAGACGAGTTACTGAGAACGACTCGCCGGTCGGAGACAATCCGGCGACTGGTAGGGCGGAGGGAATGCCAGCGACGGAAGTTATGAACTAGGGTTCGTGATTTGAAGCTTCGAATTCTCACCACTCTCGCTCGTGAATATGCCGGAATGAGGAACTCGAATTAGTGAGGACGAATTCTTTGAGATGGTACAGGAGTTGCATAAGAATTTGATGATCGATTTTTAATGGGAGAAATCGCCGGAAATAGTAAGGTTTTTGCAAAGATGAAGAATGCTCAAAATCTGCCCCAAGCCTTGGTTTAATCGAGTGGCCCGCGGCCGCGACAAATACAAGGCCGCGACTTAATTTGTTCGCCGCGGCCGCGACTTGGCTCCGCGGCCACAGAATTTAGGCTCTGTAAATGCTGCTCGTTTGAGAGATTTTACTCGTCGCGGCCGCGACCATCCTCCGCGGTCGCGACATTTTCCGAGGCCGCGGGATTTCAACGCTGGACTTGAGGTATCTGTGGGTCATAAATAGTCGCCGCGGCCGCGGCTAAGGAAAGCCCGCGGCCGCGGCCTTAAATTTTTTTTTTTTATATATATAAATAGAAGAAAATAGAACTAATACACAGCAGTACAAGGATACTCGGTTTAATGCCGGGAGCTTTGCATAATTTCTCGATCACGCATAGATAGGGTCGCCGAGACTGACGGTCTCGACATGTCTCTTTCCGAACTCGCCATTATAATATGGTTTCACTCTCTGCCCGTTAACCAAGAATAAATCGTTGTTTGCCGGAT